AGAGCTGGTGCCAGCCCAGGTGACTCAGCCCTAACGCAGGTGCCTGTGACAGAGGCTGCTGGCCCTTCCCAACCCTGAGCCCTTTCCTGGGATGCTGCTCTGGGTCAGCTCCTCACACAGTGCCGAGCTGCCTCAGCTGCTGCTCTGAGGAGCACTTTGTCAGGAGCACTTTGTCAGGAGCACTGTGTCAGGAGCACTTTGTCAGGAGCACTTTGTCCCCAGCTCCAGGAGCGATTGCTGGGCCACTTTCCTGCACTGGTGCCTGAGGACAGGCCCTGCCATTTGTCTGGGAGAGCAGTTCCCTCCAGATCTCTCCCATATCCCACCCATGCATTTCCTCCTGAACATAAAGGGGAGGTACAACTCTTCTTACTGCTCTGCTGGTCTTTTGCCCCACAGAGCACCACTATTTCTATATGAAGCCATGTGCTGCTGCACTGGCAGTTTTCTGCTGAGCGGTAGCAAACTTTGTCTAAAAATAACACTAATTTACCCTCTTTGGCCCTCAGTTTAACCATTCAAATGTTCTACTTTAGGGAGGTGGCAGCTGCTTTGATCTGCTCCAGTGAAGGTGGATAGAAAGTTTGAAGCTTGCTGGAAGGCAGCTGTTTTTCTACTGAGGCTTTCTGGGAAGATCTTGTGGGTAAGGGAGGGATTAAAGCACAGGTGACGCCTCTCAGAACTTCAATTAGTAGAGGGAACCACCTTGATAGCTGCATTCTGTGACTGTCTCAGTCAGTTAATACCACCTCTGGGGCCCACACTGCTTCTGCACAGTCACCAGAGCAGCTCTCCTGGGTGCAGGGAAGACTGAGTAGGAGTGATGAAAAGCTGAAAATACAGGAGCCTTCAACTGCATCTACCTTTTGGAGGGAGCCTGATGAATTTACACAGTCCCTCTGGGTTTTATAGTCTCTGTCTAAGGAAGATCCCCTTCCTGTAGGAGCTCCACAGAGTTTGGGTGCTGCTCTGTTGACAGTAATTAAGTACTCCTTGGCTAAATGGTTTTGTTCAGTTTATATGTGATGCTTTCCTGGAAGGCTATTAAATGCATGCTGTTTTCCTAAGATAGAGGCTTTTGAAGCTATTCCAGGCTTTCATATAAAGATTCTTTTAGTCAGTTGCAGTAAATAGGAGGATGAATGCTTTTCTGTGAGTGCCATATGAGGCCATCAGAGGCAGATGGAGAGCTCTCAGCACAGCTGGTTTTGTATTTGGTGACTGGGTTGGTTCCCCTTACAGGGATTCTGCAGAAGTCCAATGGATTTCACTAGAGACTTGTGCAAAGCTGTCCTGGTATCACAAACCCCTGGTGCAGGCAATCAGGGACTTTCCATCAGTCCGTATGACATGAGAAATGCTATTTTGAGATACCCCCTCTTCCTCTTACCCAAGTTGTGTTTAGCTTTTGAGTGCTCTCTGTTCAGAGCAGGTCAGAGCCCTTTTTCCCAGTCAGACACAACGTTCACTCATGCAAACCCACAGGAAGATGAAGAAGGCTCTGGAGCCCTGCAGCATGAAGGATACCCCAGGGCATCCATGTGGACTAGAATGGGTAGATTGGTCTGCCCACAGGTGTCCTCTGTTGAAGTCTTCCTCAGATCTTGCCTTACTTTTAGCTTTGCAGCTTGGGCAAGCAACAATCACCTCAGCGTGCCAAGGTCAACACAGAGAGCAAATGGATCAGGTGCTGCACTTGCTCTTCTGTTGACTCTTTAATCCCTGAAACTAGTAACTAAATTAGCCAAGCTCTTGCTGGACTAGTCAATTAGTTACTGCAAGAAAACCTGCCAGGTTCACATTTTCAGGAAGGAGCTTCAAGCTCTCTTGCATATTAGAGATTGAGAGAGCAGATTCCAGAGGAACATGCCCAGGTCATTTGATTCCTCTATGCAGCAAAATCACTGTGAGTTCAAATCATGACATGTAGGCTGCAAACAGTGATGGGTTCTGGGGGCTGAGAAGGAATCTGAAATTGGATCCTGGCTCTGAAGTAGGCATGTGACCAATCTTCAGGCATCCCCAAATTCTGATGTGGGAAGAACTGGTTCCGAATGCTACACATTCTAATGTTCTATTAAGGTCCAAACAGATTTTTATACTTTTTTTTTTTTGTCTGAATACCATCTCATATAGAGCCCATATACCCCTCACTTCGGGATGCTTTAAAATGGGGATCAAGTTCTCCTCTGTCACACAGCATTGAGGAGAGATTCAAAAACTCAGGAGGAGCCTATTAAATGTTTTAGGGCAGGTTGCCAGTTCTTTTGCCAGCACACAGACTACTACAAATTCTTACACGCACATACATAGTTCAGACTCGCCCTGCGCAGTGACACCAACCGCATTTAATTCCCATGCATACCATCCCTCCTTGCCAGCCTCCTCTCTGACGCTTTTTGCCTTGTTCTCCACAAACACAATTCTAAATTCAGTCCCTGAGTTTCCATTAAGGATGAGCAAAACAGAGCTTTAAACTCTGAAGCTCTTTTAACCCATTTGCTCCTGGATCAAAGAGTTTCCCAGTTTTGTTCCAACAACTCGGGAAATTTTCCTCTACTGAAATCATGGTAGGGGAAAAAAAAAGGACTGAAAAGAAATTAGTTTTTCTAAGGTGGAGCAGTTTTCTTTCTCTGGTGTGGTTTTACTTGTAGAAATGGGAGTTAAAGGAATGATGGTGAATAAAATCTTAGAACTGATCTGAGTCTTCTATGAATATTCCTTTGTGGAGCACACTCCAGTGTATTCTGGTCTGGACTTGTGGCTGGGAGTTCAAGGTCACATTAAAGAGGCTGACAGGGCAGCTCAGATCCTGCAGCACCTGCTCATGCCTTGGCTCTGATTCTTTTTCAGCAAAACAAAAATTACATTAATAACTATAAAAAACCAAGCTCCTGACATGCCATGAGGTTTCCGTTTGATTTTTTTTTTTTTTTGTCTTAGGCAGAAAGAAGCACTAGCTGGGGCACAGGGTAGGTGTATCATTCAGCACTGATGGAGTTAATCAGGATCCCTTTTCCTGTGGCCATCCACCACTGGGCGAGTGTAGCTGCATTGTCCATGATCACAGCACTGTGTTAAATGTGCTGCTCTTCCTGGAGCCATAATGTGAAATACTCAGGGCTGTACTAACAAAGACCTTACACTTCATTTTGTGTGTGAAAACATGGAGCTTTTCCATGAGCAGTTCCTGGCCCCTCATGGCATCATGGTGCAGCCCGGGCTTTTACAGTTCACTGAAAGCTGCCTCAGCAGATCCACCAGAAATATCTGTTTTCCAGGATTTAAAATTTTGCTGAGAAAAAGAAAATATTCAATGGGCTGAAACCTCTCATTTGAAGACCCATCCAAGGAGTCATTTTCTCATATTGCTCCAGATTTTGTCATCTTTACAGGGTGAATTTCTATTTCCTTGCCACAGAGACTGGTAAGAGTTACCAAAAGCAAGAATGAAAAAATCTGAGTATTAACTTCAGATTAGGCATGTTTTAAATTGAGCAATGAGCACCTTGCATATACAGTCATGAAATACTTATTTCCCCAACAGGGAATTAGTTATTGATAAATCCACAATGTGATGTAGCAACAACTTCCAATGTTCTGTAAGATAAGAGTTATCATTTAATCAGCCAGGAGAATGAGATGAAATGCATACTACATAATAAGCATTATTCTTGTGGGGGTGCCAGCTCCAACCCTGCAATTTTATATTGAAGCTTGCTGATGGTTTTCATCACTCTGATCTGCTCTGAGCTCTGGGCTTTGTGCTCTGGCTCACATTGCCTGGTACCTGTGTAATCATGGTGTTCCTGCTCTCTGCAGAGGCAAAGAGAGGGTTTCAGTCACACTCTGCACCAGCCTGGCCTCTCCCTCCCCACGCTGGCTCCCTGTGTGGTTTTGCTCCTGCTCCTTCAGCTTCTGCTCCCACCAGTGCTGCCTCTCACCCTCCCAGCTGTTTGGAGGCATTGTAAGTGCATGTGTAACATTGACTGACAAATTGAGGATTTCATGTCATTTTTGATCTTTTGATGCAAGTCTTTTAAAGAAATGATGCACCAACATGATCCTCTGCTCCCACCAGTGCTGCCTCTCATCTTCCCAGCTGTTTGGAGGCATTTTAAGTGTATGTGTAGCATTGACTGACAAATGGAAGATTTCATGTCATTTATCTTTTGATGCAAGTCTTTTAAAGAAATGATGTACCAACATGATCCACTTAACTATTTTTTGCCCAGTTCACTAATTAAATTATTTTATTATGAATACTGCATGTTTTGTAAGGAATTTACTTCTGTCTCATGGCAAGAAATTGTCTCAACCTCTGCTTGCCTGTCCAAGTTTTGGGTTGCTGCAATGACCTTAATGCATAAGTTTCACTGAGCCTCCAAAAGTGCTGCCTGGCAAAATGTGAGATACCTGGGCTCAGACCAACATAAGGTACATGGAAAATAGAACATTTTGCTGCACAAATGCAGAACATCTAGAGCATTACAGGTTTACACCTGTGCAATTACTTTGATGTAGTCATGCTGGAGCAAGGAGAGAAAAAAAACCCAATGTAGATGAAGCTTTCAGCTGACAGAGAAAATAAAAACACAGCTTGTGGTTGTGTGAACTGATCTGTGATAAAAATGTTTGCATAAAATTACATGCAAATGACTGGGAAGTACAAACATACCCACAAGAAAGTCTGTTCCACTCAGGACCAGAAGCAGAAGTGCTGGAAATATAGGAAGCAAACTTGACCTAAAGGAAGTTACAGGGTGAGGGTGAGAGTTTCTTTCAGCCAAAATCAGTGATAAAGCACTCAGTTACCTCTCTGGGAAGGGGACCACCCCTTGGTTGGGCAAGTGAACAGTTCCTCTCTAGCTCAGAAAAGATTAGGTGGGCACCCAAACTATTTTTACAGAATTTAAACATAATTGAAACCTGTAGAAGTGCATGTCATAGTGAATAATTTCTGGGACTCCATCTTCCTGTTTGGAGGTGGAAGTTGAGATGGGCATTCAAGATACTGCAGAGGAGGCAATCCCAGTCATGTGTCCCATTCACTTTGTCAAGCCATGATTATTCTGGGTCTCAGAAATCAAAATTCTCTTGGGGAATGAGGACAGCCCAGCCATCATGACCATAAACTCCAGGTCAGTGCTCAGCTACTGAAGAGAGTTGCTCATATTGCTCGTTTGTGTCTCTTGACTATTTATTGAAAGAGACTTTCCCTCATATTTTGTCTGCAGGTGGCTTCCCTTGTGGAGTGAAGGTGGATCTTGGCTGCTTGTTTGACTGAGCCACCAGAATGTAACCAGGGTTTTCCTAAGGCAGTACCACACATGGACATGCATCTTTTAGGGGTCTAATTGGGCAAAGATATGCATATGTATAGGTAAGTGTGTGTAAATTTTAAAAAATTGGGTTTCGCACTCATTTTAACCAAAGATAGGAAAAGTAATAATTATAACCTAAATAGCACTGATGCAAAATGACAGCAGTATTTTGCTTATCTTATCTTATCGTTCCTTTGATGGTCTGGTTGCACAATGATTACAGCTAACTCTGCAGAGGCTGAGAGATAGCACAATATTGCTCATGGAGGTTATCATCTCACTGCTTCTCATCACAACCACACTGTCATTAATTACCCAAGCTTGAGTTTAACCAGGAATACTTCTCTTTAATATATATTTCCTGTTCCCATCTATTTCAGGGAAAAGCATTGACTTAATTGGCAAGAAGGACAAACAAAAACAAACTCTCCTGAGATGTTAAGCACATACAAAAATCCAGATGTTTCCAGCATCGGGGTTAGGGGGTTTTTTATTTTCCTTTCTTTTGGTCTCTGTTTTCCTGCCAGGCCCACAGGAAAGAACATACAGAATGAAGCCACTCTCTAATGGTAGCTTTGAGGTGCAAACTCTACAAAAAAGAAAAAACAAACACAGTCGAAACCAAGCGTTTTCCTCCTTTGTCATTTTTTCGGCTGCTGCGGAGACCCGGGCTTGTACCTGGGGTAAGAGTTTTTCCTGTTTCTTCCAAGGCCACGCTTATGTGACTTCTAAGGCTGGGGAAGAGGGGGCACGAGGGGGTGTCTCATCCCACAGATCCTTCCTGCAAGAAGCTGAAGTGGTGGCTGCCCATTGATCCCCAGCCGCGTGTGGCGGGGCAGATAAAGTTGTGTTTGTTGTACAACTCTCAGTGTCCAGGGCATCCTTATCTCTGCTGCAAATCAGGGGCAACATGACTTGTGTGGCTTCTTGGGGAGGCTGGGGTGGGGGGAAAGACCTTGTGCTCAGGACTAAGGAATTTCCCTTATTATCTGGTTAATCTTTAGGACTTCCCTGCCTTCCTTCCCCTCCTCTTACAATCGTGTTGTGTGTAGGCCTGGAGGACTCCTGGGACTTTGAAGGACATACGGATTTATTCTTTATTCATGACTGCATTAATGAAGGGCAGTAGTCTTTCCAACTCGGTGGGTTCTCCAGACTTGATAAAACTTGCATAAAAACACTGGGAGGATTCATTGTTACTACTCCTCTGCTTTATTAAATAGCTGCTGCATTAGGCACTCTGCAAAGCATTAGTGCAATTAGTGATCTACATTTATATAAATTTGATAGTGACCTCTGATAAGAGAATGATACCATAGCATTTTGCTGATGCCACTTTTCTTCTCAGAGTGTTATTTCCCAATATCTTACTCCATCCTGACCCAGCAGTAATGAAGTCAATGAAAACTTTTCTTTTGATGTGAGAGGGAGCAGCAAAAAACTCACCCTTAAATTCCTCACACAAACCTGACTCTCATTAAAGGCATTGGAAAAAATATGTGTGTCCAGCTTGTATATGAAAATTATGCTGATTGTCCCTTCTGGCTCTAACAAAAAATAACCCCAACCAAACCCAAAAAACAACAAGCAAAATAATTTAGGAAAGAGAGCCTCAGTCCAACAAAGAATATTTTTCCAGTGTATTAAGTAAGTACCGTATATTCCATGGTTGTGCTTACTGCTCAGTAGGGGAACTCATTTTCAATGGAGGATAGCAAAGTTAATCCTGTTCTGTTTTCTTTTGCTTACTAAAAGAGCTTGAAAGACAAGCATTTGTTAATTGTATGTACAGAAAATGCACATGCAGAGCTCAGTTTAATCCCCAAAGTTACAAAGATTGCAGGAAAACTAGCTAAAATTAGGAGGGAGAGCAAAGAGGAAATTTCTTCTTTCTTTTTTCCCTTTTCTTATCAAAAAAATTCAGATTGTGGTAGAAAAAATGAACGTTGAATTCCCCTGAGTTCCACTCTGTAAATTTGGGGATTACTGTCAATTCCCAAAAGTATCCCCTTTCATCAAGCTCTGGCAAGAAATTTACAGATGGGGAAAATATCTTTATTACACAGGGAATCACTTGCTTTGCCACTATCAGTTGTGCTAACAGCACCTCCCAAAACACTGTTAGGATCTAACTTTTCAGCCAAGTTTCTTCTAGAAGTGCTAAAACAGGTTCTCTTTCAACACAGGAGAGCTGCCTGGCCATGAGGCTTCCCAGAGACAGACTGACAGCGGTCACGTTGTGTGACAAAATGTACAGTTCTGCCAAGCAGATATAAAAGGCATCTTGGTGGCAAAGCCCATGGTGTTCTCTCTGAGCAGTCACTGGATGCTGGAACAGCCCTCACTGCACTTCTGTTTCCTCTCTGTCCAAGCACAGCAAGTCACACACCGCCAACAAAAGTGATCTTTGCAAGGCTGGGAGTTCCAATGCAGGACTCCAAAGCAGTTGAGGAAAGTCACCCTCCAAATGTCTGAGTCACCCCCTGCTCACCAGCTACCAGCGGGTGCTGCCGCGTGCTCTGCCCCTCAGAGAACCAAATCCCTTCCTGGGCTGTTGCAAGCATGAGAGTAGCTGGAATTCTTAGTCACCTCTCCCTTAAAGTCCTGCCCTGGCGTCATCGATGAAAGACTTGATCTTTTGCCGTTTTTACAACAGGAACCCTTCTCTCATCACTTCCCAACGTGCCACAGCAGGACAGAGCTCTGACCCATCCTCTCGTATTTGCTGTTCTGAGGCACAGAGGGCTCTTTCAGAGGCACGGTCCCATTTGGGATTTCTTTCCTAAGACTCGGTCCAACAGCCATCTGTTGTGCTCTCTCTGTTGACCCATAGCAGGGCACAGGAAATCTCACTTCTCCCAGCCACGGGTACACAGTGACCAGTAGCTACCTCTTCCCCAATTTTTTTTTGTTTCTTGTCTCTGTGGTTACAGTAGCTAAGCCCCACTTGGGCCCCTGGCAAGTCCCGTGGCCTCCTTGACAGAGAATTGCCTCATGGATTGTCCGTAAGAGCACGGGCCGGCAGCCTCCAGCACAGCACCTACCTCTGAGTTGGCTTCTCCCCTTTCAGAGGAGTTTCTGAAATCTCAAACAAATACCCTAGCTGTTCCTTGTGCCTTTAAGAGGAACTGGTGTGTTTACATGCCCAGAGATGTTGACAGGCATCGATTCATCTCCAGAGTCAATCTGCCTTCCAAGGATGGTTGGTAGAAGTTATTAAGGCACAAACCATCAAAAGGTTGGTGTCTGTATCTGAGGTGAAAGCAGTGGGGATTTGACTGAAAAGATTCAATGTACTGGTGAACTGTGACATTCCTGGGGGGCAGGGGACTGCTGGTATCTTGCTGAAGATTTTCCTCTGGAGCATGGGATTTCTGCTATTTTCTCCTCTCAGACTATAGCCCCTAGAACTCCTCTATTCTCACAACAGAAGAGTTAAAGCAATGGGGGTACCAAGACTGGTCCTGCACGCTACAGGAATGAGGATCCAGATCTTGCAGAGGCTGAGAGACAGGACAATATTGCTTGTAATGATTATGGTATTGCTTGTCCTCAGCACACCCACACTGTTGTCAGTAAGCCAACAGGAAGAAAAATGCCCCCAGGTTGCCTCAGTCCCTTCCTCCCAACCACTTTTAGTTTATAAGCATGTAACTAAATTAAATCCTTAAAGATGTGTAATTTCTACATATTCACCCTAAACATGCACAAGAAACAGCATCCACAAGAAGAGCTGAAACTCAGTTTATTTAAGCATGTCTCACAACAACCAAACTCAAGAGAACAGCCCAGGAGACTGATCTCCATCTCTGCGGTGAGGCTGTGGGTGGATGTGTTTTCATTAGGCAATCCAAGCCTTCACAGATCTACAGACCCCTTTACACTTCCCCTTGATTTTGATATTTTTTGTCCAACTCATCAAAGCTTTTCCCTCAGTTCAGAGATAAGGGAGCAGAGCAGGAAAACCCAGCCCCTCTGTGATTCTTCAGGACATGATGGGTTCCCCCAGGGTCCAGTTTGTAGATTCTTCTCATTATCAAGAGGTTTTGCCCACCCCTGCAGCTGATTAAGGCTTGGCTTGTCCAGGGAGGCAGCAGCCATGGTTAGCTGGAAATAAGAAAAGGAATAATTCCTCCCACACACTCAGAGACCACACTCTGACCTGTGAGTAAAAGCCAATTTATGGGCGCTTGGGAGAACTGCATGGAGACCACCTTATCCTGAGGCAGAATCAGAGCCACACTGTGGGTGGGAGCTGGAAGAAAAGTCAGAGGGGAGTGGGAGAAGAGCACAGCAGGAAGAAAAAGGGAAGGTGAAAGGTTCATAAAATCATTTTAAAAGAGCCTCCTTACTCCCTCCTTGCTGACTGCTGGCACTGCAGACTGGACACCGGCGCTTGGCAAGGCTCAGTCTCTGGGGCACACACAACAGGGACCTACCCCATGCTCTGCACACACTGCAGTCCTCCCACTCACCAAACCTCTCCAGGGCCCTCTCTGGGTTTATTTCAGCTTGGAAACCCCCCACCCCTCTGATGTCATCCCGTACTGGGGCTTGAATTCATTTCAAGTTGACTGGTCCAGCACAAGAAACATTATTTTTATATGTAGGAGGTATATCTATGGTTCATAAAACACCACACAGGACTGAAGTGGCTGGAGACTGAGTGATAAACTGAGGCCAAGCATTTCTACAGTTGGTTCTGAAAAGGGATTTTTATTGACTAAATACATCATTTTTTCCCATTATCCTGTTGGGGCTACTTATGTCAACTCTGCTGCATAGACTGAGGCTCCACATATTGCACAGAACCTAAGCATAGAGACCAGGAGGAAAATTAAGAGCCAAACCTATTAATACATCCAGTATTGTGTTGATTAGATGCCTTTTGAAATGAATGCTGTTGCCTTTAAAAAAAGACTTGAAGCTCAGTCACGGAAAGTCTGTGAAAACCTCCCAGTCTAGGAGTGAATTATTAGTTTTTCTTGCATGAAAACTCTGTAAAACATTTGCTTCATGGCAATTGATGAAGTATTTCAGCATGTCTATTTTATCATCACATAGAAAGGATCCAAGAACATTTTACTGCCCACTAGAGCCTTTGTCCATAAGAAGTGAGTGTTTTGTTCCAGCAATGATAAAGACCTCCTGTATAGCTCTTGTCTAGGACTGCGCTTTGAACTTTAAAATTAACCAGTGCTGGTAAACAGGAAACACCAGATTACAGTTTAGCTCACATTAAATTGTCCTCTTGGCTTTTTTTGTTGCTGTTTTTATGTTTTAGGCAGGGACAAATAAAATGTTGCATCAAAGCTGAGCCCACAAATTGTTTATTTATTGGGGGTATTTTGCACTTTGCATTGCAAGCTGCTGCAACTGAAAGAAACATGGGTTGGCACGAAAAGGGGAGGAGGAGTGAGAGCTATAATGGAAGAAATGTTACCCAATAATTAAAATTCAGTGGTACTGTAAATCCTAATGGAAACAACAATGTGTCTTTGTGTACAATTAACTCTGGGCTCCAGTTCATGATAAAAATTCTAGCTTGTAAAAAGCCTTGACCTCAATACCGAGAGCTCAACAGAGGTTCACAGATCTGGCTTAAAAAAAAAAAAAAAAAAGAACTTTCACAGAGGGGGAACAAATAATAGCTGGACTTGGTCCCCTAAATGTGCTCCAATTATTCAGGGTGGTTGAAGATAAGATACAGGAGAAGTACCAAAGGGAAAATAGTCCAATAGCTCACAAAAAACTATAAAGTGTTGCTTGATGTCTAGAGTGAAAATTCACCCTCCCCCCCTTGTTATCCCAATCCTACATTCTGCAGGGCACCCTGTGTGTTAAAGTCCTGGAAAATCTTTATTATTATTAGTTTAATACTTTTTTAAATGTTAACAAAGCAGACAAAACGAGTTGTTCATTACAGTGAGTGACTGACAGGGAAACATGAAGGACTATTCATTAAATAATTACTACTTTTAGGCAGAAAAAGTTACTGTGCTTAAAAAGGGGAAAAACAGTGCAAAATCAAATTGTCTATTCTTTTTTTGGTGGGTGTGTGTGGAGGGAGTAATGTCTCATGGAAAAGACAGTTCTACAAATGTCAATCAGTTTGACAAGCAATTATCAGCATCAAGGAAAGGACGTAGACTGTGGGTAGAGCCCCCCAGAGCAGAGCAGCTCAGGTACTGTGCCAGGTGATGGTGGCCACAGTGGGACTTGCCCAGAAGAGCAGATTTACAGTTTATCTGCAAGCCTGCAGAAACAGAATCAAACCTCAGAACACTTCCTAATCAACTCTAGTTACTTTTGTAGCAGACAATTTTATTTTTTTTTTGTTTCCCACCACTTCTAAATATGGAAGGACAACACAATGCTTCATGGAAGGAAAATTAATTCAAAAAGGTGTTTTGGAAATATTTTTTGTCAGAACTTAAGACAGACTAGATTCATACTTGGGCTTAGGATGTTTCTCTGCTGCAGTGAATCCAGCAGCTGTAGCAGGTGTTTTCTCTAAAGAAGGTGAGAAACAGGATTGTCAAAAACATTTAAGAGTCTGAAGCCCTCAGATCCAAATGCAATTATAGAATCCTATGATAATTTAGCTTGGAAAAGACCTCTAAGATTACTGAGTCTCTTAACCCAGCACTGCCAAGCCCACCATTAAAACATGGCCCCAAGTTTCACATCTGCTTTTTAAACACTTTTTTTATTTCTGAATCTGCTTGATTGTCCCCACGTAGGCATTGACATTTTTTGCCATTATTAAAATAGTACAAGAATCAGTTTTTAAACACCTGGGGGATAAAATATCAGAAATGCCTCCTTCATATCCTTACACTGAAAAACAGAGAAAGGCTCTCCACCTCCCTGGCACCATTCATAACAAAGTACTCCAAAAAGGGAGCAGTGATTTGCTTCTCAGAGTAACTTACAGCCCCTTTCAACAAGAGCTGTGAGTGCTCAGATGTTTGATGGCAAGGCTATTTAGGAGGTGCTTAAAATACAGATAAAGCAGAGAGATGTGATCTCTATGCTTGTGGAAAGCTATAAAAGGAAACAATTCTGCACTTCAACCACTATCTTTTGATCCTTAACCAGAGGTAGGTTTGGGAAGAAGCTTGCTTGTGTACACTGCAGCCTGTTAGCTCTTGGCATCAGGTCAGTTACAGAAGGAGCAGAGCAGCAGTAGCTGCTTGTGGTAGAAAGGAAAGAAAGCTTAAAATGAGTGCAAGTGTGGGAAAATAGCACTTTCATGCAAATAATCTTTACAGTGAAAAACTCCATCTGCTCTGGCCCTGAGCATTTGAACTTATTTTATGTTGTACTGGAGCATGCAGATTCCCTGGGAAATTGCTTAAATACAGAAGTCCCAGGCTTTTGTGTGTCTATACAAATCCTTGGCATGTCACTTAATTCCCTTCTCACCTCAGCCATGAAACACCACTGCAGTTGGTGGGATTCCTCAGGAGAATCATTTCCAAGGAGAAATGGCATTGGCATTTGGTCCATTTTAGGCAGAACGGGAACATGTGCACTCACATCGCAGACGGCTGAGCATGCTGAGAGCTGGTGACAACAGTGACAACCAATGCCATAAGTCTTGCTGATCCCAGTGGGGCAACAGCAAGTCCTTAATCCCCGTGTTGTTTCCAAGCTTCCTGTTTTGAAATTGCCATAATTAAATTCTAAAGACTGAGAAAGCACCAAACGGGTTGCCAAGTTTGTGTCAAGCCTTATCAGCTGATCTCATCATAATCCGGTAAATAGCATATCATGAACATCAAATCTAATTAAATCCTCTTGAGATACGGGTTAAAAAACAGACACAAACAAGAATCAAACATTTAAAACCTGCTGCTGTACAATCAGAACTAATCCACAGGGAGAAGTGAATTTCCTTGAAATCTGGACAAATAAGCCTTCTATGTTTTCCATTCCCCAGTGGCTCATGGTCTCTCTGGCACACACAGTCAGAAAGAAAATGCCATTAGTGGGATTTTATTTTCAACACAGATCACATGAAATGCACCTCTAAACTCTGACTTCTGAAATAGAATAGAAAACAGGGCAGAGGAGATGTATTTTATTTATATATATATATTTATCTCCAGTATTCTCAGCAGTACTTCTGGTGCTGTCCATATGTAAAAGAATGCTCTCTAGCCACAGGAAGCACAATGAAAACAGCTCTCCTGTGGGCTCAAAAAGGCAGCAGTGATGCTGTTCTTAAGTCAGTCTCTTGATCATTACATTATCTGCCAGGCACCTTTCGAAACACCTCTAATGCACCCTAGGTGTCTGTGTGTGTGCACAGGCCCTTAGGGCTACACCTATGCTGCTAGTAAATTAAACAGTGGCAGGTAAGATTCCCAGGCATTGGAATTTGATAGTCTACATTGTTAAATTCCTAGAACCTGCCCTGGCACATTTTTGACCTGAATCAATTAGCGTTCTCCCACACATGTCCCAGGAATTTAGGAGTTAGCACAGCCAGAGACCATTCCCAAGAGATGCCGTGACTTCGGTCGTCGTGTGTGGTGACAAGAGGAGCTTGACATTATGGACATGGCTCATTCCAGGTCAGTGGGCCTCCCTGCCAGAGAACAGCCCTGACAACACCCAATTTTCTAATCAGAGCTGTTGCCTCTGTAAATGTCTTAGCCTACATCTGCTCTGTATTTAATCTAAGTATGTCATAGGAGTTCTCTACCCAAAGCAGATCACATCACAGCTGTATGAAAGGGCAGCTCAGGACTTTATCTGCTGGGTGGCTTTATGGACCACAGTTTTCCTACACACAGGCAGAAGCTGCTCCTAAACACAACCTTTCCAATCAGTTCCATTAGGTTACAGCAGAGAGGAACATGCTAAAGGGGCTTCTTTGTTCCCACCCTTCTGTCTTGATGTGAGCTAGCACATCCCTGGTCTCTCTGATGATCAAGAAGTTGATGTTTGCATCTCTTGCAGTCCTTTAAAGAACTCATTCAGAAGAGCATGAATTCATAACAAGCAGTATACTTTCACTCTAGGAAAAAAAAAATAAAAAGCTCTCTTTTCACCTCCTGGATTAAACTAAAAATCAAAGCTCAGAATGGATTTGCCTCAAGTAGAGAACAGCCCCTCTGGCATGGATTCACCCCACCCAGCTTCATGCATCTAAAATAAAACTTCACTTTCTCAAGGCTTTCTCTGCAGCCAAAGGACACCAAAAGGTATTTGGTTCATCTCAGACCTAACTTGTGACTCCACTAATACAAGGACATAGATCAGCAATTATCATGTCAGCATTTCAAACTAATGTCTTTTACCTGCAAACCTGCAGTGCTTCTTGATCTGTCCACTTTTGACATTGTCTTTCAAGTCTCTTACAAGCCTCACCACTTTTCTGCATTTTCACAGGAAAATAAAAAGAAAATTAACCAGTTGTGTCCCTGTCAACAATAGCAAAAGCTACTTTACTATTAACTCAGGTTTCAGACCTGATTCCAAATGAAGTTTCTGTTCTCATGATAAAAACCCCTAAATTTCAGAGCACTACGGTCACCCTGACTGAGAAAGAGAAGCAGACCCCTTGTAGAGCAAGTGTTCCTCATAAATGGTTCATTCCCATATCTGTATTTTCCCCTAAAGCAATGTTGACTGGCCCTACTACTTACTAACTTCACAGCTATCGCCAGGGTAGATGCTGGACTAAGGAGTTCTTC